ATATATCTTCCGTTACACTTCACATTACACCATAACTTACAGACGAAATTTTTCTTTGCCACCATCTTGAATCAGTCATTTTTTCCTTTTCAAGATAAATTTCAAGTATATATTCAAACCATCAATTTCACTGTAAAGCAAATACAAACCGTCGCATAGCAAGTTCCTAGTTCCTTCAATAGTCATTCAGTTATGATTTCGTCGTTCTTCTAAAATACATATTTATCATATACCTATTTTATGCATATCTACTTGTAGTGCGAACTGACCGACGTTCGTTCGGTAAATCCTGATCAAATTTTTGGCCTTGACTGTTTTTCGGGTTTTCGATAACCATTGAGGTTCAGAACTGTTTTTTTTTTCAGAACTTTTCGATAACCATTTCGATAACCATTGAGGCAAAAATTGATTCATTCGTCGGAGTTCTAAGAGAGATTTTACGAATTTTATCCGGAAAAAGCAAGATTTAAAAATTCTGAAATTAATTTAATCAGATTTGGAACGAACCAAATTTTCAGTCAGTTCCCGTCCATCACTAATATCTAAACCATTATCACCCAACCAATTTCATTATTATTGAAACATGCAAAAGTAGAAATCGCATCGTCAAATACTTGTCGTCTCGATACGATACAACCAAATTAAAAATTTTCAATTTCGATTTGAAAATTGTTTTTTTCTTCATAGCATGCAATAATTTATTAAATTTGGCTCAATTTTAACTGTAAACATTAATATGTTATTGCTCGTAGAAGTTCTTTATTTGTATTTTATTTTTTACTTTTCTCTTCAATTCATAATCTTTTCATTGAGATTACTCAAGCGAATATTTCCATTAGGAAAATATTAAGAACATACTTAATGAAACGATATCTTTAGATCTGATGACCGCTTTATGGCTAATCACTGCGATAGGCAAATAGATAGATTTGTCACCGCGATGAACGTTACTCAAGTGCTCGGTTATTGCTGACTCTTTTCATATTTTATGACCTCTCCATTTCAGTTTTCACTTTGCGATTTTCAATCGACCTCAAAAGACAAACATCAATACTTCAATATTTTAACTTCTTCCGCTCCTGTCGAATCGATCCGGATTCTTTCCTATTTAACATCAGCGTCTTGACGTACTCATAAGAATGAGACGTAGTTCGATTAAAGCACTAACCAATCAAGTTTTAGTGATTAAATGCTTTTTAACTGTTTCAACCATAAATATAAAATCACACCATTTCTTTGTTCATTCTCATCTACTACTAAAGCATCGTTACTTAACAAAGACTCATAAACATCAAAAATAAATTCATATAGACACACTCGTTTATACGATGCGTTTTCGTAACAGTAAGAGAATTGCTAGTTACACGAATATTGTCAAAGATTACAGTTATATAAACGTATGCATACATAAATCTAATAAATTCATAATATGAATCGATATGTGATAAATAAATTGAAACACTGTTGTTTATGATGATGTGTGATGTAATATCGATGTTTCAATTTATTATTTAATGCTTCAATCATTTAAAAATTGCACGTTTTTGTTCGTTTAGAAATTGATGCTTTCTGAGCGTAGGAAAATAAACTAATTTGATTTTTTCATTCTTATTCTTCTTTAGCAATGTGCAGTTCTTATTCGAGTTGTCGTTTTGCGACAGAATTTTCAATTTGGATAATAGTTTTGTTCGTACAAATTTCTTTGTACTCAAATGCAGCCGTTGCTGTAAACCCAAATCGTTTTGAGATTTTACTCTCATCCAAAGGTTAGCTATCCTTCAATTTCACTACTATAAACATAAATACACACCTATTCATTCATCTCTTCCAATGTTGCTCACACTTTCGCGACTCATGTCCCCTCCCCAAAATATAGATCGCCATTCCCTCCAACCACTTGCCTCCAATAATCGCTCACTTATAGGCGATATCTGAAAAGGAAATCGACGAACTGACTCAGTGAACAAAACTTTTACTGAACAAGAATATATTTGCAGTATCAGAGGGACAAATTCGTTCGGATCAAACAAACATTCTGAAAAGATTGCATTATTGAACAAAAAAAATATCAACCACTTTCAGTTTTCCTACTTCTTTAGTTCGCCTATCCTGACAATCAATTCCCTTTTTAAAGGAAAGTTCCCTCATCCCCTCTGCAAATCGCTGATCTATGTGTCCATCTATACGTCCTCTTTTTGTCAATCAGAAATTAATCATCCATCCGACCAGTCATCAATCCATACACTTCCTCATTAGCATCAAAATATAATCAGTTTAAAAATCGCTCTGTTTCATGCGATTTACCTGATTCATTTCAGTTGCGCCGCATACTACGCAACCGGAAACAAGAATTCTCAAAAAAGGATCTAATTTTATAATCACATGTCGATCAGATGATAAAGCGAGATCAACAATGTCTTGGTCTCTTAACGATGTACAATCACCGAAATTCAGTAACATCAAAATTAGAAAATCTTCGTAAGTGAACACATACCGTTATATTAATAGATATGAACCCAGCGCGCAGTTTACGATACCCACCTCTACATTAACGTCCTTGAGAAGACTCATCCGATCCTTTTTAAACAAGCTAGCATAGAATTGTCGAAAACATCAGACCCATGAGCTTACGCTTATGTTAGCTTTCGATTGCATATAGTTACTTATTCAACTGTGCACACGTACTATTGATAAGAGTCGAAAAAAAATTTGGTTCGACCAAAATGTGATGAAACCATTTTCGTAATTCCGAAATTCGATTATACTGTACAAATTCGAAATCCTTCGATCTTTTTCCATTTTCGCAATTCCAAAATTTTCCGTTCCCCCCCCCCCCCCCCAAAAAAAAGAAATTGAAAATACGGTCAGCTGCCATCACCATCACTACCGCATTTATACGTACATGAGGTAGTGATGGTGATGGCAGCTTAATAACATTATTCAGTATCATTTCTATGAAGTTTTCACCTGTTTCAGAACGAAATTACGAATCTATATTGATGCATTCACTTCGAAGAATGTTGGTACGTATTCGTGCAACGTTGCAAATAAAAAGGCTTGTTTTTCTCAGCGACTTTCGTTTTACAATCTAAATCATTTTCGCTTTTATTAATGCTACATTTTCCTTGTGTATCTCCATTGAAAAACTTGCAAAAAATAGTCATAATAATTCAAACAAAATATTCAATAAACAGCCGCCATTTTTCACGATGAACCAATATTGCATACACCTACATACGAAGTTTAATTATCTATTGAGTCACTCAGTGAATTAAGAATAGCTTGAAAAGTCATACCACTGGACTGTTACTGATGATTAATTGTTTGATGCTGATTAAATAATTATTTAAGCTCATACTACGTAACTGTAGTCTTCATTAGCAACAATTGGTAGTTGAATATATTCAACAAAAGAATGTTTTCAATTGCAGAATATAAATGCTGATCGACGAATCCGACTAGTTGAAGAATGTCCAATTGAATATACAGGATATTGCCTTAACGGTGGTGGTTGTATTTGGGATGGCACTAATGCTGCATCTTGCTTGTATGTGATCTTGCTTGAATGCAATCAATTTGCAAATTACACTCTTTTGAAACGAACATCAATAATAACAACAAAACTCACCCATTAATTAGTAGTGTTGCAGTTGCGTGAAGGGTTTTTCGGGTAAACGATGCGAGAGACTAATCCCATCGATGCCAGTCACAACCAGCGAACGCAATCTAACTTCGTTAACCATTTTCATCGTGCTTCTTTCGGTGGTACTGTTGATTGGTGCTGCATTGGGTATTGTGGCGATACGATATCACTTCAAACGTTCACGTACTAATAAATCATCAATGTAACAATTAAACTCAATTTTTTTTTCAAACAAATACTCCTCATTTGTTCTACAATACAACCACAATTTAAATTCGTTAAAGTCGTCTTTCATTGTTGTTATTCTGATCTGATTCTTATGCGACAATCGATATCCCTTCTCATATTCTTATATCATGCACCCCTTTTGATCATGTTGTACTTCAGTTGGTCGTCGCAAACGAACAATACCGTCAAAAAGGCTGTTTTTTGTAACGAATATAGCACAAATCAAATTCAAAAGGTTTTCAACAGATTTTCTTCTTCCATTTTACATATTTAGTTCCTATTTTCTTGTAAATAGTTCCAAAAATTGTTACTAAAAAAGAAACAACTGAAACAGGTGAGTGAATGAAAAGTGACGAATATGCTTTGATATTTTCAATAATTTTACAAAAGATTTCATTTTCTTACTACCGTTATCTATCTTCAGGAACCTCTGATTGAAATTGAAAATGAAGTTTCATCATCTTCATTGTCATCGTCATATGAAAACGAGAAACATGACGGCGAACAACATCATTAACACAATGAAATCAGGTCGTTCTCATCTAAAATGTGACTAAAACGATCAGATGCCGTTGCATTGGTTTAAATGGTATCCGAACACTGATGTATGAATGGACAGAATTCAACCTATTGTTACTAATACCGACCAAATCCACAAAATACCTATTCTATCGTTGTTTTGCCTTAGCAATTCCAACCGTTTATAATGAACCATAACGATTTTTACATATACCTACATACGAAGTTTAATTATCTAATTTTGAGCCTGCTTAATGATGGATTTTAAGCCGGAAAATCACATAAATGTTGTTTCATTGGATGCGGTGGCATCGATAGTTATGAGGAAATTTCAATTGATTCAGAATGTTCGAAATATTCTAACAGAATAGAAATATCCATTATGCATAGGATGCGTACTGATAACAATTTAGTAAAAGTACCTTCTTTAAATGAGACGCATGATATCAACAAAAACTGGTAATTTGACAGTGGTCTTGAAGACGACAGCTGTGCAATATTAAGCAGTCAGTTGAGTCACTCAGTGAATTAAGAATAGCTTGAAAAGTCATACCACTGGATTGTTACTGATGATTAATTGTTTGATGCTGATTAAATAATTACTTAAGCTCAAACTACGTAACTGTCGTCTTCATTAATAATAATTGACAATTGAATATATCCTCTTTCTCCTCTTTTCTATGTTATTACTATTTTTTCATTTTTTTCAATTAATTCAATTCAATTTTTCAATTTTAAATTCCAAAAAAAACTTCAAATCTCAATAACTTTCTGTTATTGCTGCTTCTTTCACAGATCCTACGTATTTTTTTGAGTACATTGTACGCATTCAATAACATAAATAAGCATTAATTATTGTAATGTTAGCCTTCAAGGCTATCACGTTTATTTATACACAGCATATGCAATTGTTTATAACCTGATATCTACTCTACTGATTGTTCGCTTTTTATCTATCTGCTATCTCATTGTCGATCATATGATATCTCATTTTGCGGGTATATAATTCGTTTGTTTTGAAACATATTAATTCTCTTTTCTTAATAATTACTGCTCTTATCATTATCACCACTGTTCTTTTTCTCTTCATAATTATTCTTTCGGAGAGATTTCTCACCAACAAAGCATAAAACTGATTGATTGTTTCATGATGATTATTATTATTAATGTTATTATTGTTACTGTCATTATTATTATCATTATTTTATCACTTCATCTGCAGCACAGTTTTTGACTTTACAGACGCACAAACTTGCTTGAAATGCGATTTCAAGCCGCTTACTTACTTTCAAACTACTTGAGATCTGCGCAGTCTGAAAATAATTTATCGTGTGAACCCAAATACGTACCACACTACAACAAATACGTACCAATACTCATGCTCAACTTCCCTCCTCCCCCCCCCCCCCCCCCCCCCCCCCCCCCCACATCCCCTCGCCAACATGCAAGCTGCACAATTTCCTCCTCCTCAAAAAATCAGTTCTCTTATTGCTTTCCAACTTGTACATTCTCCTCGATATATACATATTCGGCGTTATACGATCTTGAACTTCAGTTATTCAAAAATTTACTAATTTTCTTATTGTCCTCATTATTGCATTTTCGCTGGATTGTTGCTGATCGGTTAATTCTTCTGTGAAAAATTTTGACGTTTGATCCAAAAATTTCAATCAATCGTGAAACGAGAATAAAAAAGAAAGAATGATGGCTTGACCGAGTTTGACTGACCGATTTGCCTAAAAAAATGCTACTAGTGAATAAATAAACAGCATACACATACACACATATACACACAAAAAAATAAAATACGCACAAGATAATTCCATATAATTTGAACGTAGAAAAACAGTTTCTTCTCCATTTGTCATGTAATATCATTTACGACCAATTTTATTTCACTAACATGTACAGATTCATTTATTGTATGCCCATACAAATATACTGAATAATGTTTTAATAAACTAATGATCAGTCGTACAAAGCAATGAATGTCCATATGGCAGAACAAGATGACAACGATGAAGCCGGAAAAAAAGGTACCAAAAACACAAATGAAATTATTATTACTATAACAAAAGCAATAACAATAATAATAATAATAATAATAATAATAATAATAATAATAATAATAATAATAATAATGAATGATTTGACATTGAGTTTTGCGTTTGCACCGATCGTTATTACATTAATATTATAAGAACATGCTACAATAATGAAACACTGCATTGCACTTGTATCATACATTAATGTTACGTATACATCTATCTATCTATCTCTCATGCTACCTTCTAACCTCTTTCCTCTGAACATCGAGGCCATGAAACAATTCAACACCAAAATCAAGTTATATTTAGGCAAGTGCGTACACGATCTTGAACATTTTACACCAAAACACCCCTTCTACCCATCCACTCATTCATTTATTCTTCAATTCTCTTTCTGTTCACATATTTGCATTATTATTTTTAACATCATTACTATTACTGCTATTGTTATTTTTACTAGTATTTTCTTTACAATTAATATTGAATTAGTAAAAACTGTTGCAAGTTATATCCTGTTCAGTAGAAATAACATTTATTTCATTCATCGGCCACTAAAACAGTAATCAAATGGTACTAACAGAAGTAGAATAGCAATTCCAAGAAAGTTTACAATAATTTTCAGAAGATGGTGGCCAGTCGTCGTAATGGCATCCTTCACTTCACCATCCTACTCTTGATGTTCGTTGCTGTTCTTGCGGTGGTAGTCGATAGTAATGCTGCAGAGGATAAAAAAAATCCACCAAAAAAATCACAAGACGATGACGAAAAGAAATCGGAGGTCAATGACAAGAACGATAATTTATCACATGGTGAGGCTCAAACCTGCAATAACAACTGAAAAGATGTCATGAAAACGACTGATATATTTCAGGTTTTGGTGAAGATATTGACTGGGTGAAATGGACAGAGGCGAAAGAAACGGCAAAACGGGAAAATAAACCAATTTTTTTACTGATTCATAAAAGTTGGTGCGGAGCATGTCAGGGTAAGTTCGTCATGGATATAATGTAAATTGTGTTCATGACCGAATATAACTGTGTTCGTGACCGTTGATGGGTTACTGGAGGAAAGGTTACACTTTATAATTTACCTGTTACAAAAATGAATAATCGAATCGCCTGTTTTCGCACTCCGCATCGCGCTTTGGCTTTATGGCAAATCGTCACTCCTTCCCCATTCCAACTCGTTCCCGGCACCCTTCTTTGACAATCTATAAAATCTCAATGACAATTCAGAAGAAACCCAACAAACTGATCCATTGATCAACAACATTACTGCCAAGAATTCATTAAAACAATCGGCATTTGCTAATGACGAAAGCGGCATTTTGAAAAGATAATAAAACAATCATGAAAAAACACATGCATCAGCAATGATTTACCAACCTGCTCGATTCCTCCGTTCACATTCTCAAATTACTCCCCTATGATAAGCCATTGAATTGAGCATATTTCGATGATAGTATATTCACCGAATATTATTCATTTTTGTAACAGTCTGACCGATGCATAATCTTTTTGCTTGTAATTGATCATTTATCCATTCATATCAGTTCATTCATATTCTAAATTATACAATACTTTTTGTATTGCAGCACTGAAAAGCGCTTTTAAAATGTCAACGAAACGCGATGAGTTTTTAAAACTTACAAAACATTTCATTATGGTGAACACTGAAGACGACGAAGAACCTCAAGAAGAGCTTTATGCACCTGATGGCCAATATATACCACGAATATTCTTCTTAGGTTTTCATTCATTCATCCATTTCAATATTCCATTACTTCATTTTGTATTTTTGATTTCTTCTGACTTTCCCCTCATTAGCACCATCAGAATAGAATAGTGATCAGATGCGCCTAAAAAGTAGCTGAAAGGTATTGGACAGACTGAACCATAAATAAGGCTTATATGGCAGTATCTGCTTATCACCACTGTTATATTCAAACAAACCAAAAATGTATAGAGTACTTCAAAGCGTAATTCAAAACTATGACCACTCACTATATTCATATATCTATTCGCTATAACATTTGATAACACATTACAATAACTGAGTACGACTGTATGCCTTTGATTATCACCAAACATTTGGTGTTTTTCTCTTTATGCAACCAGCAACGATGCGATCATCCATCACCTTCTCTAGGATAACGATTTAGCGATTAGAATAGGGTTTGTCGACCGGGGGTGCGAAATGGCACGCCAGGGTGGGGTGAGAGAGATGCGAGAGTGGTTGCGATGAGGGGGGTGAGTGAGGGGTACGGGAGGGGTGCGAGTTAAGGTTTTATCTTTTATATAGTGAAGTAGGCGGGGACGGAGTTCAACGTATACATGGGTATAAAATTGGCGAGGACTTCAACATATACGTTTTTGAAAAGGCTAGAACGTACTTAAAAGATTTACATTTATCTACACTCACTGTAATGGATGAGAGATACAGGGTGGGTGTTTGTGAGGGGTGCGAGGACATTTTGACTGTTGTTGCAGGGGGTGCGAAAAGGAAACAAGCTTGAGAAGAGCTGGCTTGGATAGATGGTTATTATGACATTCCATTATCCTTTATATACATTCCCTAGAATAAAAAATAATATACGCATATAAACGAAGCAGACATATATTAAACTGATAATCGAGATCTAAAATCTCAGGAAGACGGATAATACAGTTAGCTGACAATGAGTGAAACTAGACAAAGATGTCCATGAAGAAAGAATGATATCTGTGATATTATATGACGAGTTCGAACAAAGATGCATAATGAATTAGTTACAATTGTTGAATGAACTAATAAACAACTGTACAAGAAAGCAACAAATGAATCAAGTTATTTTCAGACGAAAATGCAGTACCGTACAAGCATATCAACAATAAGGCAGCATATCCTCGCAATTCACACTATTTTCCACAATTGCCAAACATTATTAAAGCCATGCAAAAGGCCATTGTTGCATTTGCCGATTCGTCAACAACTAATCGACAATCCGATGAAGGACAACAACGACAAGATGGTACTAAGAGCAGCAGCACCTCAAAGGTATACCACACATTAACGCATTCCGCTTACATTTTATAACGTAATAAATCCACTTTTTACATTCATTCAATCGCTCACATGAAAACTGCATAGCTTAGCGTCTGAAACTGTTCAATTTTTGAAATCTTAGAAGATTTAGTTCCCTCAGAATTTACAACTTACAATTCGGTTTTTATTGTTAGTATAATTTTCATAAATCTTTTCAAATACAACGATAAAACAACCGAACTGCTTGTCAACAATGTTGTTGCTGTTAGAATAATTTCGGATCGAATTAACGTCATTCCAACAATTAGTCTCTGCAGAAGGATGCTGAAGAAAATTCGATCAGCGATGATGAATTTCACGGCTGTCCACATGCAGCAAAAGCTAGAGCTATGAAGAAGGCACAAGAAGAGGAGGCAGCTCGTCGTCGAAATGCAGAAGATAAGGGTCGCACAGAGACAGATGATCATAGGAATGTGCAAGATTCAGATGAAGACGAGGAAAATGAAGATGAAGAATCGAGCGATGATGAGGAGGAGGGAAGCAAAGGAAAGGAAGAAGTAACCGAAAAGGATGAACATGAGGAAGAGGAACACGAGGACGAAGAGCAAGAAGAAGAAGATGATGAAGGAGAAGGAAGCTTGCAGGAAGGAGATGATGCTGATAAAGAGGAGCAAAAAACGAGAAAAACAGAACTTTGAAGGGATGATACTTCTTGTAGTTCTGATAAAATCGATTCAATTCAATAAATTATTATGACACTTATTGAGGTTTAACTGCAGTTTAGGATGCTATCGACCAGCTTGCACAACCCATCAAACTCATCTGATTGTTGTCAAATTATCTTCATGAGGATACGACCTTTTGAAGCATACAAAGCCCACAAAACATATTCAAGAAGTCTAAAATTTCAGCGTTAGAATTTGACAGCGATAGGAGTGATCAGGTGATTTCGACGGGTACACTGTGAGGTTGAGGAGCACCCTAAACTGCAGATGAGCTTCATTGGTTGATTGTGAAGTGTCAGAATTGTTGCTGTGAGTTTCAATAAAATTCGAAAAGTCAAACATTAAATTAATGACAATTTTAACAATATGATGCTTTTGAAATTTTAGATGACTCGTTTGGGCAAGGACAGACAGAGAAGGTTCGCGAAAATTAGATGAAAAAAAGAGTAAAATTCGATGCAGCGAGAAACAATTGCCATAATAATAATAATAATAATAACAATAATAATAACGTAATAAACATACCTTTATGAAGTAACCAAGTGAACATGTAAAAAGACGATAGAACGAATTGTAATATACATGTAGATACAAAAGTTAAAAACTGCATTCCTCACAGCAAAACAATAATGACATAATGATGAAGATATTCTGAATGTGAAACACTGAAATATGTAAACAGCGATATATATTATATGTGTAAGACGATAACTTTGATAGACAGAATAAACTTTCGGAGGAATTTCGCTTGGAGGAATTACAATATAATCTGTTTAAGAGAAGACCTTACTGAATCGTCTTCGGAAACCAAAAAATAACTCATGTGAAGCAGTTATCTAAAGAAAGGCTATTGGATTGTTGTTTAACACAAGTGCTGTGGCACCAGCTGATTGAACACTCGTGATAAATAATGCAGAATGAATAAGATGTATCTTATGGATAATATCCGATCCGCTCTGATCTGATCCCACTCCAATCGATCATGCGTCACATTTGTTTGAGGATGTTGATGGTTGTGTTGAATGTAGATGCTTCTTCGGTGATAATTCACCCTCACCCAAAATCAATGGCTTTTTCAAAGCTGAAATGTCTTTTCATCAATTGCATAGTTTATCAATCAACCAGTCCAATAAGCTATACAATTGAAAGTACTTCATTTACATTCTCTATCTGTATACGGTGATGATTGCATACGAAAAGTAGATGGTTGCAGTAAACCGGTGGATGGCGGTGAAACGAATGAATACTCAGGTACGATTGCAGTCAACGATGGAAATACACGTACGGCTGCGTCTCGTAACGGTAACACATTCCATACGATCAGAAGTGGATGTAGAAATGATATTAATAATGGCATCAATACAAATGACATTTCCAAACACGCTAGTAAACACTGCAAATTTTATATCATACATCCAACCTCGACAAAACTCACCGTAATTTACATAACCAAACCTAAACGCTAAACTACTAGCCTAGTGGTTCTCGCGCTTGGATGCCCCGCTACCCCCGTCGATGGTCTGACAGGCCGTCATTACCCTGCCCCCCCCCCCCCCCCCTCCTCTTCCGCTACAAGAACTTACCATTTCCACACATAACGTTGCATTCATGAATATGAAAAAAAATTCAATCCAGAATCCCAAAGCACATTGATCGCAAGGTACACATTCGTCATGAGCCAAATACCTATGTCACGATCGAGCAGTTAAATCATTCAAAAAAAATCGCTGACTCAACAAAAATTCCATTATATGCAGTAATTAGACAGCGTATCAAAACTTTTCAGTGCAACCGAATAATAACAATCAATCAATTCAAAAGTATTCGTTCATCTTGCATATCCTTCCTGCCGTACCAAAGAGCTCAACCGATTCCTATTGCTCATAAGCGGCGATGTCAGCCAATAAATCAAAGAACTTACCAATTAATTGTGATGTGAAATTGTCATATAACAAGAAAGAAATTGCTTCACTCACCTCTTTACAAACATAATTCGCAACATACTGATAAACTGCTAATACACCCGTCAAAAATAATGCCATTTCCCATAGAAATGTTTCAATTGATACGACTATCTGAAATTCATCACTGCGAATTCACGTTTCAAAAACGAATGCCTGATGATCGATTGAAGATAAAGAAAACTTTAAAAATAGTGAATTTATAGCAACAATGACTGTGCATCATACTGCTGATGGTAACTGAGCAAAGTTAAATTCGAGATCATGAAAACAAATTTCATTGAATCTCAACTACAGGATTTGAAACTTATTGGATGGATATAAATAAGATTCAGAATTACAAAAATGGATTATTCCATTGGATTCGAGCCGAAGTAAGTTTTTTTTTTCATTCGTTTGCCAGCATAAGTTGATCATACCTTAAATGAATACGTAAGTAATAAACGAGTTGAACCGATTCGAAACTGAAAATAAGTTGCTAGATAGACGATGACTAGTGCGATGCCATGCATCGAGATCAATATGCTAATCAGCCAAAAACCCAACTGACGTTCACGTATCGCCATTATCGCTGAACACTAAAAAAATTTCTTTTCTCGTTTGTGAAATTTTATGCATGAAATTGTGCATACAATAACCACCACCACCACCAACAATAATAATAACAATAACAATAAACAGAATCACCTGTGCAAGAATGCCACTTGGTGAATCGTTGTCGAACGCTGTAAACAGTAGTGTTACGGCTAAACAAAGGATCACCAATGCAGATTGCCATATTGAGCACGAACTGAACCACGATAACAGTCTTCGCTCTTCACTGTAAACGTACAATAGCGATAAACATGTACAATCACTTGCTTCATTAACACTTAACATTAATATCAATAATAATAATAAATAGTAATTAATAGTAATAAGTAATAATAACAATAAAAACATTCACAATTAAAATGAAATGACAAACCAATGAACTAACCGTAATGGATGTGTGGTTTGTACGGAAAGTGCAAGAACGAGTGCACCACAATGGATATAACAAAACAGCAACGGGAATTGCTCTAGTTTACAATTGACTGTTGTTACACTAGTCATACATGGATTACGCAGTGAAAATAACAAGAAAACGTTACGAGCCAATTGAAAGCCAGCCAGAAGTGCGTAATTTGTCGCCATAAAAGCCTTCAAATCAACTAGATGAAATCAAGACTAAGATGTTTAAAATGTACACCTACGATACTGAGGGCAATTCCAAAGACTATGAGTTTTGTATCTGCCTAGAAAAAACTTAGGCTTATTGCCTAGCTACTGCGAGATTTTAGTCGTATCAAATGAGCTGTAGTGTTTCCAGTTTGTTCTCATCAAAGTAATATAATAACAAAACGCTTGGCTCATATTAGAGTTGATAATCGATAAATATTTTTCGGTGACCATCGATCTAACATTTTATCAATGGTTACCGACAGGGCAATTTTTGAACATCGGTCGATTTAAGCCGATGGCCACCGATACTACGGTAAACACTCAACAATTCTTGGTCGGTAGCTACCAGAGTACGCGCGATTCGATGTACTACTATTGCTAATGTGATTATTTTTTTAAAATAACAACTAATATTGCAGGAGGAAAGAGAATGATTATGGCTCAATTAAGTAACGAATAAATGAATGAATACCATTACTCGCCGTTGCGCAATTGCTATTGGTATTGCGTTTTGCGTTATAACAGTTGTGCATGTGTTCAGAATCAGTGATAGTAATGATAAAAGTGCCTCGATCACGTGGATAGACCTGTGAGAGAACACTGATGATACTTTAATGTAAGTACTCAACATTATTAACGCTTGGTTAACTATGATTGTTTCATTTGTCTAATAATAATTGTAATCAAAACAATAATAACAACATTAATAATACAAATAACATACCATGTATAGGGATGAAAAAACGCTGATTCACAAAAATGGCTTGATAGTGTTGTTGATTCAGCGATATTATCAGCTTGAGGATAAGAGAAAAAAGATTCAGTTGATTGTATTGCTTGAATCAACATTGTTGACAATACCAATAAAACCACCTGAAAAAGCAATCGTTTCCGTTCCAGCTGTATGCAGATTGGACTAAAGCGTAAGTTTTTGTTTCATTCAATAATAATGTATAGCAAAACCGGATATAAGATCATATGCTGCTATAACAAACGTACTAATATAAAAAGAACAATATGCTATCAGAATAAGCACCTATTTGGGTACAGCATGAAAACTTGTCCATACTGAACTGTCTTTCACAAAGCTTATCGCTATCGTTCTTCATCAATCATATTATAATTACCAATAAATTAGGATAAAATTACAGGACAATACGCAGTCTACTTCTTTTGCTATTACATTGTTTTTTTGCAAAATCATCAACAGACAGATGCAATATAAATAATGAATAAGTAGATGAATAAATGATTGAATATATAAGTGGAATCGTATCGGATCAGATTGGAATTGCATCGAAAAATTTTAATTTTTGCTCACAGCAAGCGAAAATTACAATCTCTATAATTTCACTTCCATTGCTGTGCTTTCCTACAGATACGTTTCATTGCAAGCTGCTGCTACCTAAAACTATCTGGGTGGTTAAATGACACTGAGTTTGGTTAGTACTCTGCTGCTGCTGCTGCTTCTTCCTTTTATGGCCCATGGCTGTTTCCTTTTATCACCACTAAAAAGCCTAAGCCTGCGCTTTCGTCAGCTAGTCGGCTCAATATCCTTGTTGTTGGTATGTGATACATAAATGTTCGACCAACACAACTATCCTTGCATTGACACTACAAAATCAATGAAAACAACCGCATCAATTTCAAAGATTATTTCCCAATGGCAAATTACTGCTTCATTGTTAGCTATTCAATACTCACACTATTACCACCACTATATCAGCCAGCTGATTAGCCGAAGCCTATGCAGTACTCTGCTATATTATATTTCATATTGCATGCATTATATTCCATCCTTTCATGCCTTCTGTTTTCGACACATTATCACGATTTAAAAAAAGCACATCACAAGATGGTGGCGTGTCATCTATATATAATGAACACTGCTTCTTATCAAATTCACATCACTAATTTGACAATAACAGCTAAATATTACACTGCACACTTGTGTTAAGTAAAACCACTACTGAATCATGAATACTTTTTATCCATCCGAGCATGTGTTCAAATCAAGTTAAAGCAATCTAATCTAAACTCCCATCTTGAATTTATCCCTCCCCTCCCCTATCTTTGTCTGTCTTTCTTGAATTGATCAGAATCCCACACGTCATCCTTCCGAGCTTTCTTCTTTCCTTCCTCTTTGCACGAATTCAAATTCAATTCAAATTATCCTCCATTTCATTTATCGATTAACTTCCATATAAAGAGACTGACTCGTCAAACTATACTAGCTTTATAAAAATGTTGTAGAACCAAACCAATGCACATCGACCATGCTGAATATCATACAGCTATACTCTTTCATTCATATATTCTAAATAAGAGACTTAATGAAACAAATAAATGAACAGTATAAGTCAAAAAACTTAATTCAACTCAGACGGTGTTCGTTATTGCATGATTATCTTTCAGTGACTTTATATTACGTTTAAACAACGTAAAATCGTCTTCATTTCAATATTTTACCAACATTAGTATCCCACCCCCCTCGCATCAGATGATGGCGATGGCTTTCCTATGTGATAATCATATCACCCAGAAAATAGCAATCAAATGAATTACTCAACCGGTTAGTTGACTCTTCCAAAACTTCAATATCTTATTTGATGATTTACTCACTTTGTTTGTTTGTGTTTACTGGACGTAAATTTGATCTGATTGCAGTGCATTCTTTCAAAAAAAAGAAAAAAAAAACATCAATGAGTTTATAAAGATGTGCATAAATGATTAGGTGTGCATTATAAGGATAATGTCAGCTAAGTTAGCATTAATCAAAACGCTTCTGTTGATCTTTCCATTCATCTTTCTCGACATTGTTGATTTGTTTATAAAAATACGCATTTTTTTAAACCTCAAATCTTCTTAACTCCCTAACAAATCAATTCTCTGGTCTGAATCACAACCAAAAGAAACAGATTAAACGCATTTCGCTCCTCTACTCTGTTCTTCTCTAATCACACATCAGATATTATCTGTCCATTTGCTTTTGTTAAGCATTTTTTGATGTTGATCAATATTAATTTTAATACTATTATTAAAATGTACACCATACATAATATTTAAGAAGTTATCGAATACCATATATCCAACGAATGTTCATCGATATGATACGAAACGATCTCATATACTATATTCTTCAATTATTTCAAATTATTATCTCCCAGAAATATTTCTCTGCCATCTATCGTCACCTACTATCCTTTTCTTGCCTTGATTCTATCCTCTGCTATGCTAACATCTTAATTTCATTCGTTTCTAACTGCAACATATAATGTCATGCTTACGCATGCCTATATTTACATATTCTGCTTTCTTAATTTTTCAGTCAGCCATCTTTCATTTGAAGCACACCCATACATTTCACTATCGTTCAGTTACTCATTCAGTTTTGTATTTCTTTTCCCATGCCTTCCTTCATTATTTCTAATTATCATGATGAGTCGATCCAATCCCTCAGAGAAACTGTTCAACCATCTAACTAAGTGGTTCTCACGTTTCGTATCCCCTTTAGCCGTAACACAGGCTACCACTCACATCCCCCCCCTCTTCTCCTCTCCTCTCTAACAATCTGTACGTCTTAGCGACAGATTAGAACAAAATCAACAAATCGATCTATTGAATGAGAAATTTACCCTCGAGAAGTCGTCAGTTGTATCAAAGGAATCAGCACTTCTTTATGATCAAAGAAATATTTTGATGATATAATATGATTGGACAATTATGGACGAATCGTGAAATCTCTTCAATTCTCTGTTAACATCCTGCAACTTTCCCTCTTGCGATAGTCGCTGATTGGGAAACCGTACTCATCTGTTATAAGAACTTTTCAGTACTAGCTGTATAACAAGTTCAACTGCGTCATATTACAACTTATTATATAAGTTTATTTCATATAAATCAGCATCTATACACTACTCATTTAATATTCTTTCACATCGCATTAAATCACTTTGAATTTATGATGAGAAAAATAGATATTTCGACTGAATGGTAGAAAAGAGATGCAATTCACGAGAAGTTATCATAAAAAAGTTATCATAAAATCTACAAAAGTCTAAATTTCTTTTCTTTTGTTCATTCATTCCTCTTATATAATACAATATCCATACCTACCTACTCAACCACATATTCACTATTTCATACCTACTGTATAACATCGAGTGTACATATATTTCCCTCAATTAAAAGTAAACACGACTACTGTCGACCCGATTAAAGGTACAGAAGATTAGAGCGCTTGCCCTCAGCTGATGGTAAACTGTTAGCTCGAAGCAGGGCGTTCTCAGCCGAAAACGAACACCTCGCCTAGGGTGTCCTCCGTCGGCTGAGAGTAAAAACATCTCTTTGAGTGCACGCAACAAAAACTTCAGTGAAGGTTGTTGTGAAGTTCCAGACTCCGCACCTCCATTTGCTTTTGCAGAGCAAATGCGCAGTCAAAAAATTGAATAATAAGTTCGGTTCAATACAATTCCTAAAGGTGATATTTTCGCCGTGATTAATGATCAACAGTGCAACATTACTTCATGAAAATCGTAAACGTTTGTTTGCAATACTAATCATATGAATGTCTTTGATGAATTAAATCTGATGTCAGTCGTAACGCACATTTTTTATGAAACCTATTCCAAGTGTAAAAGCGTATATATTTGCTTGTTATCAATCTCTTTAAACCACATCGTTCGAATAAACGTCATCACAACTTTTGAATATCTTCCTTTCATTCTGCTTACTGCAAAATATCAGTTCATGAATGTAACGCACCATTACAGTTAAATCCTATACACATATGCATAAAAATTCTCATACGTGAATGGCATTTTTAACTCTCAATGGGATAGATTCCTCTCGGTCATTCATTTCAGGATGCTGATTTCTTTTGTGTTCACTACACTGCACCAAACGCATTTAGCGTCCTTTATTCACCACAATAACTCTCCTCTCGTTTACATCATCACTACATGTATATGAATGACTACATTCTTATATATA